TTTCGTAATTGGCCAGCCTCTATTGTTTCAGCGCATGGTCGCTTACAACAGCTCATTCTTGTAAGCGACCAGCTCTAGTTACGACCACTTTTTCGAATTCCCAAGGTGGTCGCTTATGAGAGCTTCGACTGTATTTGATTAATTTTATACTAATATCTCCTCTAGGATCCAAGAAAACAGGCAAGGAACGTCAGGTATTTTTATATTAGCCTGCTTCATACACTGTATGTTCAAATACCCCCCCCCCCCCCCCCAAATATTATAACAAATTAATATATGGCAAACTGATCCATGATAATAATAAAAAAGAGCATTTGGATTGGTTCCCTGAGCGATCACCGCTCACAAATTAATTTTGTAAAATTATTTTTTGTCTCCATTTATAATAAGTAGAAACATTTTTCCCTCATGTCTGATGGACAATTTCAGTTAAACTTTTACTTGGATCGAATGTCTTTTGAACAAAGGAAGAATTGAGTGCATAAGAGTGACATCTGTTTAGTCACGCTACTCTTCTGGGCCCGGTTGTTCGAAAGGTGGATAACGCTATCCACCAGATAAATCACTATCCGGTGGATAAGTGTCAACAAAACAAACTATGCTATCCACTGGATAGTGATTTATACGGTGGATAGCGTTATCCATGCTTTGAACAACCGGGCCCTGGTGGCTTCTTTCAAATATTACATTTTTATTACTTACGTTGATATGTTCTGTACAGTAAATATCTTGACTCTGAAGATGACTTCTGCTCAGTTTGTCAAAATGTTAGTCACCAACATCAGTTCTTTTCAGGACTACCCTTGCCCTGTTTCCTGACTAGTGGATTATCTTTCTTTCCACACTTCTTTTAGGATCAGGAATGGGAAGTGGTTGAGAAGCCCGGACAGTCATCGTCGCCACAAATCAGCAGACAGGATGAGATGCTGTCATCTCCACAAGGAAAACCCCGCCCTGAACCACCAACCAGTTTACCATCATCTCCAGCCAAGAAAAAGGATGGCTCCTCAGCTACCCAGGAAGGTACAAGATAGTTTACCAGTACAAGCTCATAATATTGAAATCTATGCATTAGTGCGACTTTCATTATAACATGCAAACTTTGCTCAATCAACAGTTGTGTTTTTTGCTGCCGCCAAGCATCTTTAGTTAGGGGTGGACCATTTAACTTCTGAGGGGGGTGTGGGTGATTTGTTATAGGCTCAAGACAAAAAAATCAAACCCTTTCATGTGCAATAATTTTTTTTCTCGTGGCTTGTGTGTGCTTGATATTTTTTTCTGAAGTTGCATGTGTCAGCCCATCAGGTAGTGTCTTGCAGGAATTTTTTTTGGCAGTGGTCGTGTGCACAATTTTTTTTTGTACAGGTGTGCTTGCAGGATATATTTTTTTCAAAATCACCCCTACCAACCCCCCTCCTCCCCTCCCCCCCTCAGAAGTTAAATAGTTTACCCCTTAGCTTATGTCTCAGGAAACATTAGTTCACTTCAATGGGTTCAAAAGGTCATGTATGTGGGTTGTGATTGGTAGATTTTGATCCATTTGTTTGTTTCACTTTTCAGGGTCTGTTGGTCATCGTCATAATAATTGATGGCAGTGAAAAATGCAATAATTGTTGTTAGTTGGGTATTGAACTTCAGAGTTTGCCTGTAATTGAAAGGCGTGTTAAGATATTGTCATACTTTGTTTCATCCACAGACGATGCTCAAGAAAAAGTAATTAAAGTTGTACCAGCAGATCTTCTCAGTCCAAGTACTGAAGAAACTCCACAAAACAGAAATGTGGATCCACAAACAGATGAATCAAGACCTATCCAGTAACTATAAAACAACTTGTTTTTCTACATTTTGCTGATAAAAATAATGCTCCTATAATCCATCAAAAAATTTTCTCGCACACAATTGGTCTAAACACGTCACGTGACGCAGCCAAAACTGGGAAATATTTATCCAGGTGATATTCCCCAAGTGATATTCCCCAGTTTTGAAAATTTGCATTTCACATTCGCAGGTTCAGTTTTCGTCTCAAATAAATTGCTAAATTAAATAAAACTGATTGTTTTGAACAGACTAGAAATATTTTTGAACGCCAACAGAATTATTTTGATGTTTAACAGCTTGGCCGACCAAGATCTTCCACGGCAAACAGAGCAGCCTTGTGAAAAAATATTTGAAGGATAATAACTACAATAGCCTTTGGCTTCAAAAATATGCTCGGATATTTGTCCTTGGACATTATCTGTTCCTCGAAGCTCACAGTTTTCCTCGAGCTTCGCTCTCGGAAAACTGTTCGCTTCTCGGAACAGATAATGTCCGCGGACAAATATCCGAGCATATTTCCTCGCCAAATGGAGGCTATTGTTTATATAGACACTGGAAATATTTATGAAATTTGATGCAACCCAACAAACAGTAATAATATTAAGAGGTTACTTTTGCTTATAAAGTTTACATTCACTTTCTGGACAGTCTAGTAAATGATTGACTAATCATGAGGGAAATACCACTAGCTCTAGCTGGACCATTAGACAACTTCTTGTCATGCCCTGCCACAGCAGAATGTCTGATTAAGTGTAAATTTTTGTATATCACATTTCTTTTGTCAGAAATACCACACTTCTTGAGGTGATTTTTTCAAATGAAGCAGGCGTCGATTGAGGGGGGTGGATTGGGTGGCTAGCCACCCTCCAAAATCCGCCCCCCAAAAAAATTGAAAGCCATTTACATAGAAAATGAATAGAAATACACTGGGTAGGTGTAAAAGTTGTTGCTGTTTTTAGCTAAAATAAAATAAAAATATTTGCTAACAGCCACCCTCTCTCACCCTCCCCCTGTCTCATTGGATATAAAATAGTCTTCTCAACTTTAATATGATGCCTTTCTTTCAGAATATCAACAGGGAAAGGCGCTCAAGTTGCATCTTCACATGGATGGGAGCAATGTAAAAGAGGTTATCTAAGGATAAAACAGAAAGGCTTTCCCAAGTCAAGATGGCCACTACTGGTAAGCATGCATATCCCGTGATCGAGGGGAGGGGGGAGGGGTAAGCTGTGATGGACAAGCATCCTATCCAGGAGCTTGAGGTAGCAATACATCTAGTCACTTCATGCTACAGAAACTGCATGGAGTTGTGCATTGGCACTGATTAACTATCTGTCTCCTTCAACGCATCCTTTAACTGCTTGAAAAATCAATGTCATCAACACAGATTCTCCAGATTGATGTTCTCTCCCAAAATATTGAGAATATTGATCAACAGATTGATTTGAATAAAATATAATTATAATAAAATAATTATTATTTTTTGCAAAATTTGTTCCATCCACATCTTGCCTTTTCATCTTTTTTATTTCATTATTTGATCTGCTTTGCTGTTTTTAGTACTTCATTGTTGACCAAAAAGATGGACGGTTGTTAGCGCAGGGACAAGAGCAGCTCAGTCCATCCGTGATGGAGAATCTATTGCTATGTACAGTGAAGTTTTGTGGTGCATCAGATGCTGACAGAAATAACTGTTTTCAGGTACTGTTTGCCAGCTGTTAACTACCTAATAGTACACTTGAAAAAATTACTCCATTCTGATTGGCTAAGAGCAGTGCAGTTCAAGTGTAACAAATCATGCAAAATTGCCCAGTAAAATTTTTGTGGTTAAAATATTTGTGATATTCCATGAGTCACGTACAACACTTAGAAAAGGGCAAAGCTTCCAGCCAAAAAAATTTAAATTCTCAATATCATGTGAAATCACAAAAACCAAATATTTATTGGCAGCCATCACTACTGTTGCCACCCCATATTTGTGTTATGGCGAGCAAGTGAGTAATATAAAAGTCTTATACAATTTGTTACTGTTAGTGTGTATATCGTAGTGTATGTCTGTTTGTCAGTTAATAAAGTTTGTTGAAATTAAAAAAAGTGAGTATTGCCTTTTCATGTCCTTTCTGTGGATTACTTTTCACAGGTTTAATTTTTCTGATGTGTGAAAATAACAATAAAGGCATTAGTGTAGCATTCTATTTTCAGTGTCATCATTGTTTGTTTTATTTGCAGCTTATTTCTCCAAGTAGTGAAAGAATATTCCAAGCAGTAACAGATCAAGAAGTACAGGAATGGGTCACAGCCATTCAGGTACAAATGCTTCCCATTCTTGATGGGGTGGGGGAGGGGGAGGACTGACGACTCATAAAAGTGAAGGGGATGATTGTTGTACCTTTTAGGGGTTAGAATTTGCGCCGGAAACGAGTAGCCCTGGTCGCAAGGAAATAATTGAATTTTTTCATTGGCTGATAAAAAATGAATGCGCAACACGAATTAATGAATGTATGTCCGGAATTTTCAGACATCCGGTAACGGCTGAGACCAGAGCCTCCGTTTCGCCAACCACGTGACCAAAAGAAACAGGATCTGGGAACGAGAATGGGACGGTATTTTTTAGGGGGTTCCTTTCAAAATTTCTAACAGTCATCCCTGTCACTTTTCTATGGGAGTCCCCCTTGGTTACCCATCATACTACATGATGTATAATGTATTTTCCTTCTATTAGAAAATAATTCTTATTTTTCTCATTATAAAGCTTATGCATAAGCACAATTTGATCATTTCATATTGTCCTTGTGAGCTTACACTCCTGTTTTATAGCTGAAAAGGCTTTTATAAAATGTGTTTTATTTTTTCCTCCAGAAAGCAACTGCTGATGCTTTAAGAAATTCAAAGGCAAAGCTACAAGTGAGTCAGTACTTTATAGTTTCACTGCATAGATAGACATGGTATATCACATTTTATAAATGTAGCTACATGTATGCTTTGTTTACCAGTAGCTATAAGTGAAACGCCCTTGCATCACAAATGTATATTATAGGGTGCCTAGTGATGGTAGTTTTATTGGATAACACCTTCTTTGAAATTTTGTACAGTTTCACATGTTGGAAAGAAAATAATGATGGTGAATTTTAAGCTTGGTGGAAATATGAGAAAGATGATTTATCAGCTACTCGGAAAAATAGTTCTCCCAACAAGAGTCGAACCTATGACCTTCTGCACACCAGTCAGGCGCTCTACCACTGAGCTACAGGAGACTCGTGAGAACTTAGGCCATATAATAATAATAACAAGGTGATAGAGCGTCCGACCGGTGTGCGGGAAGGTCATAGGTTCGACTCCTGTTGGGAGAAGTCGGAAATATTTTTCCGAGTAGCTCGTGTTACTGACTGATAAACATTCTTCTCAAGTTTCACATGTTGTCAAACAAATCCTTGAATGTTTGCTGTGCTGAAGGGGAAATTTTGCATGTCATAATTTAAGATTTTGGCAAAAATGTGAAAGGCTAATCAGACATTTCTGTTCTTCTTTGTTTGTTTAGTCACTTGCTAGATCACAAGTGGACAGATCAAGCCACTCTGCAGCTAATGCAAAGAAAGTGTTTGTGCTTAATGCTTCAGAGAGAATACGAAAGATTGAAGGCAATTCATACTGTGCAGACTGCTCAACACCAAGTAAGAGTGATCAAGATCTAATTTCTCCTTGACATATCAATACACAGTCAGACGAGGTGAAGAGAATCAGTGATTGATCACTAAGGAGGAAATTGTAAAGAAGGGAAAGGATCGGGGGTCTGATCACAGGTTATTTGTATCTTGATATCTTGCAATGCATCTTGAGCTAGCTGCCATTGCATCTTGAGCTAGTCACCATGATTGTAGCCTGCATAGCTGGTAGTTTTGTTGATGCTCGATGGCAATATTTGTGCTGGGGAGGACTCACTCCCTCCTCCGCAACTCTCCTTGCAGCTTTGTGCCATCATATCATTTCACCATTGTATGTCACATCTTGGGCTAGTTTAGGATTTTGTTATAACTTGTTTTGCTTTCATCATAGTTAATAGAGGGAAATGGTTATGAAGCCCGGCAAACTTCAAAGGAGCAAACAAAGATGGCAAGATTTATGTTGGAAAGTCCACAACCGTGCACAATCTTTTCTTTTGTGCTCATACACTATGCATGAATTACGTAACCGAGACGTTTCTATTGGTTAGTTGCTTGAACATACGTACAAACACCTATTGTATTTTGTCAGGGTTTTGTGCACAGTCAAGGCCCAAAAAAGCGAACAAAAACATATAACGAAGAACTTTGCCGGGCTTCATAACCATTTTGCTCTATTAACTATACTTTCATTCAGAGTTTAATACATATTTTAAAATATTTGTTTTAGGACCAGATTGGGCAAGTATAAACATTGGAATCTTAATTTGTATTGAATGTTCTGGAATCCATCGCAGCCTGGGAGTGCACGTGTCCAAAGTGAGATCACTAACGTTAGACAAATGGGAGGAACAAACAGTCAAGGTATGAGTGATCAGTAAAAGTTTTTCTTAATAATATGAATACAGTGAATTCTCTCCAAGGTGCACCCTCGGGACCAGCTCTAGCTGTCCGCCTTACAGAGCTGTCCACCTTACAAAGAGTTAATTACAGACAAACAAGTGAAATCAGCTAGGAAGAGCCAGCCAAGCATATCTGCTGTATTGGGTGTCCACGTTGAGAGAATTGACTGTACAGTGAATGCTTTCTAAAGTGAACACCCTCAGGACCAGCTCTACTTAGCTATCTGCCTATAAAGAGAGAAGAGAGTTCACTTTACAGTCAATTTTCACATAATTAATCACATTTTGATATGTTACAAACAAGCTTGTGACACAGACAGACAGACAGACAGACAGACAGACAGACAGACAGACAGACAGACAGACAGACAGACAGAAAGGTGCATGTTGTGTTTTGGGAATTCAAGAATCCATTTATCTTTTTGTCCATTATAGTTCACTGCATTCAGGTGAATACAAACAAATATCATTTATTTGAATGTCTGTTTGTACTACAGTAGGATAGTTTTTTATTTGTTTCTCTTTTCTTCTAACTAAATGGTGTAGAGTTTGCATTCTATTCTTTTAGGACTTCAAAGAAGTATCAACTTGTTGACCGTATTTCTTTATTTTTACCAGTTCATGGAAGTTATGGGTAACGATAAAGTGAATAGGATATATGAAGGCAATCTTGGAGAATATCACAAACCCACAAGAGATTGCACAAAGTAAGTTCCAGCAAATATTAGCACCATGTGTTTCTTCTATGCATCTATAAATGAAAAGGAAGACCCATAGCAAAATGAAAATGTCCACTTTATTTTCTCAACTAAGTACTGTAGTTTCCTTTGCAGCCGTTATTTGGGTCATCACACAAGGCTTCTTGAAAAGCGTTGCGTGACGATGATGACCCAAATCTGAACGTCTTCGAACTGAACTAACTTCACAGTGTTAACCAGTTACTGTTTCAAATTATCTGAGATGTTTTTTCTCAAGGGATTTCAGTTTTAAATGTTCCCTTTTTTGGGTCACTTGAACAAAAATGTTTGGCATAATGGCGATAGCATTTTAATTTTTCTGGGATCTTCTTAATCTAGATTAATAATAAATTCGAATGTTGTAGTTTTCACGATCAGTTGAGTGTCGTAAAACTAAAACAATTATTGACTCATCATCAATTATTGCAATTGACTCATCACAACAAGCATAAACAACTACAGTAAACAAATGAAAACTTGTAACAGGAGGCGCCAAGTGTGGGAAAACATGCATGACCGAGTCCTGATTGGTTTTGGTTTTGCATCTCATGCATTGAGAAGGTGACACAAATTTTTTGAAACCAATCATAGAGCGTAGTAAAGAGTTCACAGTAATTCCGGATTACTGTCGACACACAGTTGAAAACCGCTCTGTTCACACCAATGGTTTGTCTCATATGCAGCTGTTACGTCCGTCATCTTGCAAGGCTTTTCGTAGTGTGACAACCCAAATAATAGCTGTGAGGAAGACTAGCCAATTGTGTGTCTGCACTTTAATAGATCATAACCAAAGAGCCAATGAAAACATTTCCTCGGTTGTTAATTCTATAATAAAATGTACCATTATGATTAATTTTGTATTGTCACTAATCATAATATAAACTTGATTATTTAAACAGGGACGAAAGGCAAAAGTTCATTCGTTCAAAATACGTAGATCGTCATTTCCACATTCCTGAGGAATGTTCAGATCAGGAAGTCCAAGAAGTGATGAAAAACAGACCACCGGGAGAAGATGAAGATGAACTTTTTAATGACTCTGCAGAGGTAGTACAGTGTTCAGCATCTAACTTATCCTTAGCCTGAGATCAAGCTCCTAAAGAAAATCTGTGAGCGAAGCGAGCCGAGTCGCTGCCTGGGGCGAGATGACGGAGCCTGAAGACATTCCTTTGATGCCGCCGTCTTCATTTTCGCCCCCAGGCAGCAACTCGGCTTGCTTCGCTCGCACATTTTCTTTAGGAGCCTGATCTCAGATCTCAGGCTTTCACCTTCCCTTGAAAAACTCAATAGCTCAATAGCTTTCATTTGAATGGTCACACACTAGGGTTTAATACACACGGGCTTAAAATTTAGAACTACCTTGTACAGCATAATAAAGAGTACCACATGAAAGTACTTCTTGATAGCTTTCATTTGAATAATAATAATTAATAATAATAATAATAATGAATTGTCACACACAAGGGTTTCATCCGCAGATTTGGAACTACCTTCTCTCTTTCTCCATCTCCACCCCAGCAGGGGCACTCCCTTATGTGGCCTATACGGGGACGTGCCGCTGGACAGGGTATGGTTTTTGGCCTCTCTGCCTTGAACAGGGTATATAATTTCATGCGAGTCTGTCCTAAACAGGGTCTGAACCTGTCCTAAACAGGGTATGGTTGTACGATTGTCATCGTAAAAATATGGTTTATACAGTATTTAGAGATCGGAGACGTTTGCCACGTATCAGTCAAACAGGATTCACTAAATTGCAGCCTAAACAGGGCCCTAAAATAGAGGATGTTGTCCTGTCCTACACAGGGTAGGTATTAGAGGGGTTTTTATTGTTTTTTTTCCTAAACAGGGTCAGGTTTTCAAACCCTCAGCGGCACCCCTATACCCAAACATGGATCAAGTACCCCCCCCCCCCCCCCCCGGATCTCCACCTCTCCTCCTTCAAAGTGTAGCTTAGTTGCAAATCATTTGACAAGACACTGATTACGTGTAATGCTTTCATTTCAGTTCCTTGATTTTCTGCAGGAGAGAAGTCTCAATAGAGCTAGTCCAGTTTGTCTTGTAGAAGACTGTAAGGTATTTTCTTTGCTACAGATCTGAAAATCTAGCATGGTTACCACAGGTCAGAAAAAAGTTTAATAGGGAAATTAATATGGATTTTTTCTGGAAAAAGTCAGGGAATTTTACTAAAGGGAATGTTTCTACAGGTTTGGTACAGGCTTTGATAATGAGTGTTGTTTATAACAGCTATCCGTCTTATTATGGTTGATGAAACTTTTTTCTCCAAAACAAATTGCAATAAAAAAGGATGAATTGTTTACTTTTCATACTTACTTACTTACTTAATCCTCTTTGTGCGTGTCCGCACATAAGGCGGTCACCAGAGAATGCCAGTGTTGCTTGTCTTTCTAATTTAATTTTGTCACTTGCCCCCAACTCCATCCAAGCTCCTTCATCTCTCGCTCAACTGGTTGTCTCCTTGGGTCTCCCTCTCCTTCTTTTTCCCATCTGGAGTCCAATTACTTTTCATATGGTCTGTAAAAATTGTTTTCTAGTCAGGGAAAAGATAGGGAACCTTTTTCTTTGTGGATAGCAACCAGTGTAGAGAAAAAATACTTGGGGGGTTTGAAATTCCCGCTTTGGGTGTTTTTGGGTAAGAAAATGTTGACAAGTATTTTTGGGGTTAGTTTGATTTTAGTAGGGTTTTTGGGGTATTCAAAAAATGGGAAGATTCACGGTAAAAAACTTGTCCCCTTACTTAGTGCTATGGATATGTAGCACATGCACAATGTGTATTTCCTCATCATTTAATCCCTTCTGGGTATTTTTAAGTTTCGAAAATTCAGCATGGGATATTTTTGGGTTTCATTTTGGTTCAGGGGATTTTTTTTTTTTTTTAGCGGGGAGGGAGGGGTTCACTTCAAACCCCCCAGGGATCTGGCAAAACTGACAATTTGAC